CTAACTCCCCACCTACACTCACCTTTACTGGCTCCATCCCCGCCTCTACGACCTGTCTGTTTTCTCTCCACCTATCCTCTCCTCTATCCATCTTCTATCAGCCTCACCCTCTCTACACCCAGAGAAGTTCATCTTGCCTTTATAATCTGTTAAAAAAAAGTGGTTAAATGAAAGAAAATCCCTGATGTTCACTGTAAAAGTAACAATTTATTGATTTAACCCTAACAGTGAACAACTTAACAACATTATTAACAAACTGGTATGCTGTTCCAACAAATACTGTTTTTCTTTCTAATTGGGCTCCATCTTCAGCTTCGTTTACTCAGAGTCACAGAATCCCGACATTGTAGAAACAGGCTCTTCGGCCCAACAAGTCCACATCAACCCTTGCAGCATCCCACCCAGACTCATCCCCCTATAAACCCGCCTAATCTACACATCCCTGAACACTAGGGGCAATTTAGCATGGCCAATCCACCTAGCCTGCACATCTTTGGACTATGGGAGGAAACCAGAGCACCCGGAGGGAACCCACACAGACATGGGGAGAATGTGCAAACTCCACACAGATAGTCGCCCGAGGGTGGAATTGAACCCAGGTCCCTGGTGCTGTGAGGCAGCAGCGCTAACCACTGTGCCATGGTTTTATTTCTGTAAAAACCTCTAAGCTTAGAAAAGCACTTTACCTCTTGAAGGGACTATGCACTCTTCTCCCTTATCAGTTTTTACCAAAAAATTCTCGTTTCCTGCCTTCCAATTCACGATTACTCTACACGACTTCGTAACACTTCCTCCTTAAGAAAACAAAGATCAATTATTATGGAAAGATGGCTCCATTTTGTAAAAAATCTTACCGCCATTATCACAAGATGCATAGGTCAGTAATCTAAAGTTACATATTTCATACTAATTCTGTGTGTGTATAAAACATTGGACTGTACCAGCTCTAAGTTATCCACACATTTTCTTTTAAACTCACGATAACATATCTACAATAACATTTTTACAACCCACAACATATACAGTCTGTACATTGAAAGCCTGTAATATAAGACTCCAATGAAATACTCTAGTATTCTTGCCTGTAAATCTTTCCAAAAGGTGAGAGTGTTGTGGTCTATATACATAACTGTTTCCGAAACAATGTTTGCAACATAAATATTAAAATGTTGTAAGGCCAGTATCAAACTCATTAACTCTTTTTCAATGGAGGAGTATTTTCTCTGGTGGATGTTGAGTTTCTTTGGCCTTTCAAATCCGCCATTATCCTCCTGCATCAAAACCGCTCTAGGCCCGAAACGTCAGCCGTCCCGCTCCTCTGATGCTGCTTGGCCTGCTGTGTTCATCCAGCTCTACACCTTGTTATCTCAGATTCTCCAGCATCTGCAGTTCCTACTATCTCTCCCAACCCCTATATCACTGGCTTCGATAGTGGCTTTAAAGGGTTTCAAGAAATTTGGTATGGCTAAAATTGGTGCAGTGGTTGACACGGCTTCTTTAGCAAATCCGTCAGCGGTGCCACAAATGCTATTAAAGTTTGAAACAAACTTTCGATAGAATCCGCTCAGTCCCAAATGTCGAAGCACCTCTTGCTACGAGTATGGTTGTAGAACTTCCTCGATGGCCTTTGGATTCACGTTCCTCAGGGTCATCCTTCCATGTCCGATGTTGTATCCCAAGAATGTCACTTCTGCCTTCGCGAATTCATTTTTTGCTAAATTTATAAACAGTTTTGCTTCCCATAGTCTTTCAAAGATCTCTGCCAAATGCACCATGTGATCTTTCCAAGAATGGCTAAAGATCTCCAAGTCATCTATAGAGACAGCACAATTAGTTAATTCTGCCACAACTCTGTTCATAAGTCTTTGAAATGTGGCAGGTGTGGTCTTCATTCCAAAGGGCATTACTTTAAACTAACACAGACATTTGGAGTTACAAATGTAGAAACTTCTTTTGCTCTCTCTGACAAAGGTACTTGCCAGTAACCACAAAGTAAGTCTAACTTTGTGATGTAAGTGGCTTGTCCAACATTTTCCACACAGCGCACCAGCCTTGGATTTGAA